TGACAATTTAACTCACTCCAAGGACACAATTGTGGCTTATATGGATTGTATCCTTTCACAACTTCCTGATCATGTTCAGAAACTGTCCGTGTGGTCAGATGGTCCTGCTTCACAGTTTAAAAATCGATTCATTGCTGCTGTCTTAGAACACTGCAGGCAAAACACCATGTTGAAATCACCTGGAATTTTTTTGCCACCTGCCATGGCAAAGGCCCAGTTGATGGTATTGGTGGCAGTGTAAAAAGATTGGTTTGGAATGGGATTAGGTGTAGAAAATACATAGTAAATAATACATCAACATTTACAGAAGCAGCAGCATCTAGCAATGTTAGGGTTCTTGAAATCAAACCCTCTGAGATAGAAGCCATCAATGAATCATTGTGCCTAGAACAAGTCTTCAAAAATGCCCCAGCAATTGCAGGCATTAGTGACATCCATTGCATGAAAATGGTTGATGGCAACATTGCCACTTTCCTCTTGACCTTTGACATGTCTGATCAGAATAATGAGATGCAAGAGCCTGGAGCCTCCCAAGTTCCAGTTGTTGGTGAATGGTGGGCTGTGAGTTATGAAGGGGAGATATATTCCCTGGTGAAGTCCAGAAAATAGAAAAAGGTGAATACCAGGTGAAGGTCATGGTGGCCGCTGGGAAAAATTGAAAGTGGCCAAATACCCCAGATGAGATTTTCTACACAATTGATAAAATGGTGCGAAAATTACTGCCACCCATCCTTGTGAATTCACGTGAGCATTACAGCTTTGCCAGTCTTTAAATGAAAAGGCTTACTTAAGATGTTTATGAAAGAAGAGAACTTTACTGCTAAAATTCTATATTTGGTTAATCAAATGCAATTATTGAAATTCACCTCTTTCCATGATGGGGTTAATCACTTAATCAATGTAATCAAATATGTACATGTAGGCTAGATTTTTTTTTTGTTATCAGGTGTTCACCATACCAACTACCAAAATCAGGAAGAAAATCCTGTCCATGTTTTAATTCTGTAAGTGTGAGCATTATGTAGTTAGTGCTGCTTTTGAGGTAACGCGAGTCACGCATATTATGTAACATTTTCTCTGTAACAATCAAAAAGTTAAAATTCCATTCTAGCCTATTCAGAACTATGCAATGTAGAGAGCATCTTTATGGTATTCAATGGAGTCCAATGTTTTTAGTTTGAGGAGAAACCATGCTATTATCATTTGAACTTTAAAGGTTTTCCTTTTTTTGTAACGCGAGTCACGCTGTAATCAATTTGTAATTAAAATTTCAATT